GCTGATTCCAACACTGCTTTCGTTTGATTCCCTTCTATTCGTCATACATGAGAAAGAACCGGGACCGCTCTAATCAAAGCCTTACACGTATCGAGCGGTCCCATTTGTATTGCTAAGTCCTAACGAACAACAAGGCACTGTAAACTCCATTAATTGCTACCTCTCGTCAATTGCCCCCTCGGATTCGTCTCCTCGGCAAGGTCTCCCAAGCTGAGAAAGAGTCCAGCGTTTCCTTCAGGAAGCCTAGCTAAGAGTAAACCAATACCATGATCCACTAGCGTCTTGGCATCAAAGTCGCATGGTGGTAAATCTTCCTCTGATCCACGAGGGTTGTGACTGCCTGTGGTTGTGAAGACCTTGGGCAGTTTGGCCAGGCTGACCTCGGGATTCCAGGAAGCCACAATGGCTTAACCAGCAAATCTCTAGTTGAGAGACGGGCAGAGAAAGGGTCTCCGTGGTGCAGGTGTAATTCGCGAGTCTCCGGAAACGGTAATCGTGGTCCGATCTGGCCCAAGCTCCAAGTTTTGCGAATGTCTCAGCATTGTTGTTGTTGTAATTCACATCATATCCTGCCGTAAAAATTATAGTAAGCAGAAAATAAAAGGTTAACATTGTGATTCCGACTACAGTCTCAGCTTGACTGGATTCAATGCCAATTTGTGCTCGCCAGATCAATCCCGCTGACGGATGATTGCTCACAGCAGCGAGCGGTAGAAAACTAGCAGAGAGAGAGGCAGAGGAAGGGCCTTCGTGGTGCACTGTGTAATACGCGAGCCCTAGTATAGATAGGGTGATCGTGGTTCGATCTGGTCCAGGGTTCCAAGTTTTGCGAATAACTCAGCATCGTTACGGTGGTATTTCTCTCACACTTTTTAAAACGATCTACATCAAAGCTCAACACTATTAATCAGTACCTTCCTGAGTTATTGAGGTGAACAAGGTTGATAGAAGCCCCTCAACATTCCTCTGGTGGTAAGTTAGCACGAGGTTGACAAGCAACCTTATTTAGTTAACGCTTCGCCATCTTTAAATTCCTCAGGGCCGGTGATCCGAGTCGATGATACACAGTCGCTGGTCCTTTTCGATGTGGTATTTTCGTCGTCGCCGCCTTAATGAAGTAACCTCACTCGGCGATTAATAAAGATTGTCCGGTGAACGTAACTTGTTTTTCGCTCAATATTTTTCTTCCTGTTTCGATGGATTTCAGGCTCCGTTTTTGATTCACAATCATGACCAGGTAAACAGTGGTTACCTAGTGCGTGCGAGCAAAAGTAGCAGTTAATGAAGTTTACAGTGCCTTGTTGTTCGTTAGGACTTAGCAATACAAATGGGACCGCTCGATACGTGTAAGGCTTTGATTAGAGCGGTCCCGGTTCTTTCTCATGTATGACGAATAGAAGGGAATCAAACGAAAGCAGTGTTGGAAACAGCGCAACATCTGTGATGTCAAGTAATGATTAGAAATAGTTTGTATTTCTTAAAGAAATTCTTGCAAGTACTTCGCTAAAATAGCAGTGATCCCTATATTCTCAAATGTGTGCTATTGTAACTCTTTTTTAACGCAACAGAATTCCGAACCATCTGAAAAAGAGAGAGATTTCTCTGTGAATGAAGCAGTCAGGACTGAACTTATAGTATATAGACGTTGAATAAAAGGAAAGACCAAAGCTTACAGGTTCATTCTTTAAAAGTTTATAACTATGGCAAGTCGTCGTCTCTGAGTCGAGAGCAATTCTAATGCTGCACGAAAAAAAGCTGGTTGTGGAAAAAAACTCAAAAATTTTGCTCAAACTTATATTTAGTCCCAATACAAGCGAAACTCATTGAAATGAATCAATCTTTCAAAAACCGACTTTCCTTTAACCATGCCTAATCAATATGTTTTCTTTCATTGGTATGCTAACACGAGGTTGATAAACAGTTTTACTCGGTTAACCTTTCGACGTTATCGGCTTCCTCAGAGTTGATGATCGGAATCGATGGTCCTCAGTCGTGCAAAAGACAATCGTATTTCGATCCGGTCCGAGATCTAAGTTTTGCGAATATCTCAGCACCGTTGCGGTTGTATTTCTCGTCATATCTTGTCGTGAAAAATTGTGGTAGGTAGAAAATGAAAGGTTAACAGTAGTAAGAGAGTTTGTCCAAAAGCGCACTTGAGGATGGAAGGCAAATATGTTACGTTCACGGAAATGTCCTAAAAAAGTAGATGAACTCTGTATTGAAAATTACTCTAGACTGTGTGAGCTGTGCTCATAGAGAAAACTGTTCAAGGACGTGCTTGGAAAGAAGTGGTTAGCAAATTGCAGCTCTGAATGCTTGTGACAGCAATAGCGATGAATGAAAGTGTTTCTCAACCAACAATGTGACATTACTACTAGGTGAATGGTGCGCGTTAATTGGAAACACTGAAGAAGAACTACAGAGATGTAGAAACAATCGCAATCCGCTTCTAACCGCTTAATTTTCTTCTCTTCTGCCAACCTATACCCCATGCAATTCTAATTTGTTCTGAGCCTAAGGAATGGATGCTAAGAAAGGATTGAATAATGCTTACAAGAATATCACTTGACACGACGAAAAAAGCAGAATCAACAATGGAACCGTTGAAGAACAGTAAAGTGCAGTATGCACGCCAATTAATTTCCTTATTCTTTTCCTTTTCTCATCTACAACCACCAGGACCAGAGTTAGCGTCATTCTCTTTTTGTTTTCATGAAAATCCGAAAGTATCGCCATCAAGTCTACAAAATTTTTTTGTTTGGTATGACTAAGGAGTTTTCCTTGTAGGAATTACTACTTTGTGTGCAAATAATATTCGCACCGTTGACAGCTGGCTAAACACCAACTGCACGGATGCAGAGAAGGAACGATGGTCTCGAGCGACCATTAAGAGATGCGTCCGCAAGTAGAAGAACATTTCGGCCTGGCATCGACGCGGTAAGTGCATCAGCTAACCCAAGTAGCTGTAAAGAACGTCTGTTCGTTGTTTACTGGTTTACTGGAGACGCTCGTGGGCACATGGTATACCGCTCGTGGCTGCCAGTGCCTGCGATAAACACCGTGGGACCACCCACCGCGGTCTAGTCGTTGTTCTGTTATTGTTTCATCGGATCTTCGCCAACTATGAGACTTCGCACCCACTAGCAACATTTCCAGCCAACACTACGGCATCAGTCGAAAAATTTCCACTAGCCAAATGCACTTCAGAAGGCTGGAATAGCTGCGATTTTAAGCTATCAAAATTCGCCTACATCCGGCCCAAGTCTCAGTGTGCATTCCGCTGTTGTGTTACACTCCACTGCTATACTTTTTGAAATCACTGTTGCTTTTTTGAGTTTGTTTTGTCTCAGATTCTGTAATTCTGAGCTTAACCCCGATTAGTATAATTTTGCAGCAGCATTACTACTCTGATCGAAACGGTACCCATACGATTGTTTATTGTCTAAAAATAAAACTTTGTAACATTTACCGCTTTAAAAACGATCCTAAACCACTTATTTCCTAGATGTCTTGCCTCGATAGGAGGAATGACGGATCTAAGATTCAAGACCAGTTGCTCATCTCTGCAAGAATCACTGAGTTCTAAACGGCTGTGTCACTTTCAGATTATACCAATTCGATCGTTTCGAGCCAGTTCATACGATCCGTTCACCAGTACGACAACAAAAAGCACAATGCCCTTATCTTACCGGAGTGAACGTACTGCTTACTCACGACCAAGTTATTCGGGAATGTCTCAGTCATATCACGATTATTCTACGCCGACCAGAAGCTGTTCAAATCGGTGCGCTAACCACCTTTTTCTCCGAATAAAATTTGAGTTTCTCAATAGGAAATCAAATTTCGCGCAGCACACCACATATTTTCGCTTTCTTTCTTTTGTTTTCTTTTTCATTAGTTCTTATTTCGTATGAGCACTGCTGTAGTAGTATTTCTTCAGATATGGCAGCACCGATCAGCTTTACAAATCGCCGTACATGAGTTCTTCGGGACACGGTGGCAGCTCTACGTACCGCTCAAACTCTAGCTTCACAAAATCTGGTAGTGTGGGTTAGTGTTTTCATGTCACCGGTCATGTTAATCGCTCACGAAACTGACTGCCACTTCAGGATTCTCCTTACCGGAGGCGTCGTCTCGTTCATATCGAGAATATGGCTTGACCACCTCCTACTCGAATAACTCTTCCTCGGCACCAAGGTAATGCTTGTTAAACACACCATGAGAGTTCGGTAAGATGATTTGAAAAGTTCGATAGTTCACAAATGATTATTCAAGCGTTCAAGAAAGTTAGAACACGTGCAATCCTCCATTCCTCAAACAGATATTTTCTTCTCGAAGGTGTCACCGTTGGCTTTTTTAAACAATCGTATTCGTTTCCGCAGATTACAAGAGTTTTGTTCATGAAAACGATTTTATTGGAAAAACGCAAGATACCTAGTTAATCTCTACTTGTGGCATGTTGACAGGTATGGAAATCCACTTTTTTCAAAGATATTTGTTTCGGCCCATGCAAGAAAAACTTCCCATTCTTCATGTCGCGTTTGCAAAAATTTGCGCAGTTGTTGAATGCAGACAGCATCCAACATCCAACTGCGCCAACTTTAAGTGAATTGCGCTAACTGCGCCAACTCAACCGATTACTTACGGGAATTCTTAAAACTGGGAAATCACTCGTAGTAAGAAAGCTCAGATAAAGTATAACCAAAGAGCTTCCCATCTATGAACGTACTGCTGTTCCCTCAGAATTCACCGAACTCTCGAATCTAGAAACGTAATAATTTCTTTGCTTTATCGTTCGTGAATGTTTCCTTCCCGACGTTCATTTTCAGATTACTCGTCTCGTAGGAACTTTTTTCATTTCTTCGATTTTATTTGCGAATTGCACATTTACTGGCAGTTGAAATCTTTCAGATCTTCCCGTTGCCGCCAGCAATTGTTATCGTGGTTTTTCCTTCTACCACATTCACCTCCTCTACTCCATTCAATCAGTTGCGAACAAAAAAAATGCTTTAACACGTAGAAACTATCTATTGAGCCAATCGGACCTATTCCTCAAAAATACACCAGAAATGACTCAATGGAATGATGATGGGGAAATCCTGAAACGAAACGAATGAAAATTGGAGCGACTTGTGCTTATGTCTTCTCTAGGAAGATGTCACTAAATCGTCTCATGGAGTAGAGAAGCTTAAGATTCGAAGGAGAAAAAAACGAGAAATTCGAAATAAACAATCTTACCGGTATCATATTGTTATGAAACGTCATGCTCAAACGAACCATTTGCTCTGGTTTGCCGTGACCCAGTATTTCGAAGTGGGGTCATGAAGACTTGAGCTTGAAAAGGAGCATCAATTTCAGTGGTCTTTTTCCCAATTATCAAAAAGTAGAGGAAATATAACCATAGTTTTGAGCAAACTCGTTGTTCTTCCCAATGGGAACCTTCATCTATGTTCGATTAAAATGTCGTCTTCTGTTGTTTTCATGCACTAATACATCGTGAAGTTCATGGAGTTGAAAGCTATGAAAAAAGAGGCATGCAGTTCCAAAATGCACTTAGCTGACGATTGCAAAAGCAGACGAACTTGGATATCCTAAGGAGTCACTATTTCTATGGATTTCACATTTTCCACGTTTTTTTCTATTCAAGATTTTCCTACGCTCATAAAAATTCACCACAAAAAGGACAGACGAAACACATTGAACATTCAAAGAAGAATTTTCCTACTTTTTTGCATTCTCCTCTAATCAATGTGAGAACAGTTTAGCTTGACTATTTCCAAGACTGCATGGAGTATCGACTCGACCAGCATTCTAGGCCATTCATACGGAAGATGAAGCCTTCAAGCAGCAGCAGAAAGAAAGCACGAAATGTTCGAAGACCGTTGTCGACGGGGAATGCGAGGAAAACGAATCGAATGCAAGAAGCACTGAGATCCGCACAGTAGATGTGACGATGAAAAATTCCTCAACTGAGTGATTCTCTTGCTCTGAGAGCTATATTACCGTTTCACGTACCATTGAATTTTCACGTAGTGTTAGTTTTGATGTGTTAATCAAGAGATTTTTCAGACTCCTAAAAATAAGTACTACTTCTACTTAAATTGTTCTCTTAAATACGATGCTTCAATCTTAAGGCTGAAAAGGTCAGCTAGAACGAAAACTTCTCCTTATCTTGGTAAGTGCCTGCTCTAACTTCTAAATCCTTAATCTTGGTTAAGGATTTTTTTATCCGACCAGTCTCTCACATGTACTGTGGAGATCTCAGCATTTCTTGAATTCGATTCATTCCTCTCCTCCGTCATCCACGAATATCTGCTAACTTTTTGCGTTTAGGCTCATTGCTGTTTGAGGTTTTTTCCTTTGTCATTAACGTCGTTAGATTCCGGTCTTTTAGATTTTTCCTTAAATACTGGAACACCCATGTTACGGCGTTGCTCGGTCTTCCTCACACACACTCACCGGCTTTCGTAGATCGGAGGGAGCTCTTAGCAGACATAGCCTGCACCATTTTCTCAACCGCAGAGGGATAAATATGGGTTGTCTCAGGACTGAATCAATTATCGATTATGTTCCAGATTATGTTAAATGTTATAAAATCATTGTGTTATCTGATCATATCTCTAAGCTCTGCGCTTTCCACGCCTTTTGTGAAAATTATTACTAGTTACTAATGCTTTTGGCAAAACACTATTAAACTTCATTTAGTCTTTCGCAAATTTTGACAAGCCACATAGATCAACTACATATATTCCAAATCCGTTGGGCCTAGTCAGGTGTCGCTTACAATGTACTTTGATCTGTTCTTTTGGTTAAGATCAGCAGGATTTATTGAAGTTGCTGCATTAGACTTACTAGCACAAAGTTCACAGTATGCTCTTTCCTAATTGGCGAACAGTGACATTTTAGCTTTACCGTTCCAGATATCGTACCGCTCACGGCTCAACGATCGGCTCTCTTCATCAGCCGAAAACTAATTTCGACTATCGCTCAAAAAGTCCTGGTTATGAGAGGTAAAGAGGCAAAGTGGATTTCTGTTGTTGTCTTAGTTAGTTCGAAAAGGGACTTTTTCGTCAGAATTGTACATTTGCCCTGGAAACTTCGTTATGCTTCAAAAATCTCTTTAGAGATTCGCGTTTGTGTCAGGTACGTTACGATCGCGACTGCCGCTCGTTGTCGCGATCGGAGAAGACACCGCTCAGCGGCAGCGAGGTGAGCAACCAGTGTGACTTTCAATTTTCCATTATTTTGGTCGCAGCATGTTTTCCATTTACCTATCTATTAGCTGAAGCAGCGAAGCGAAAATCAAAATCAATCTGGATAATAGACAACGTTTGGACGGTTACACACCAACAAGGAAGTAGAGCAGATATTCTGGTCTACTACTTTTTGAGTGATAACCGTGAATATCGTTTTTACAAATTTATTGATCGGTTCATCGTTCTGTGGAGAACGAATGCTTAGAGCAATCAATGTGCTGAGCGTCGCTCAGCCATGAATAAGCAGAAGTGTAAAGTTGGGGGTCGGTGAACACTTAAGAAAAGAATGAATGTAGCAGAGCACCTATTGCTATTAGTCGGTGAACGACGAATTCAGGTTGAAAGTAGACAATGGGATATGAAGGCACAAAAGTGACAAATTCGTGCTGCCTGCGAACAGAGGGCCGTCTACAAATTGCTTGATCTCATTGGTGCAGCATTGAGCAGGCCCGATTCACTGGAGCTTGGTGTGGGCATGAAAGGCTTCTTGTTTCGTTAAGACTACCATACTAATCTAATGCTGACCTCATCTGCTCATCGGAATACGTATCGTTCTGTAGGCACTGCTGATCTTAGTTCACCGTAAATCGGCTGGTAAAGTCCAATCTTTGTGAATTACCACATAGTGTGAGAAAAATTTTCAATCTAGATGACAAATGAGACAGAAAATCTAGTAGGTGTCACGAATTTCGCTGTGGAACCAAGAGTTGGTTCCGCTCTAATTTTAAGTTATGCTTTCTTATTCCGAGTGAAGTCGAGTGTGGCGAATGCCCTGTCACGTAATAAAAAAAAGTTTTTAAATTTACACGAGGTTGTTATAAATCGATGTCTTTTTTTCTTCACTAAGCAGACACGAGGTTGTTGTTATAGAATTTATTAGGGTACAATAGTTGACGTTTCGGCGGTTTCACCTTCTTCAGAGCCGTTTATTTGTTGTAAGTATATAAGTTAGTTGATGGATAGCAGCCGCACAGAGTAATACATGGGCGATCTTAACTTAAATACTTACAAAAAATAAACGGCTCTTAAGAAGGTGAAACCGCCGAAACGTCAACTATTGTATCCCAATAAATTCTATAGTAACAACCTCGTGTCTGCTTATTGAAGAAAAAACATCGAATTATCAATCAATGCCGAGGTTAACAGAAAGTCGGTCTTGGGAGTCGTTATAAATGCTTTGTTCAGTTGTGTTTTCGATAGCTTCGATTTCTTCAGAGCAGAATTGATCCGGGCGGGTTGTCAGCAACCGCTCTTCCACGCGATGTGGGTCTTTCGCACTGAGTTCAATCCAGTGGGGTGGAGCGCTGTTCGAATGAAGTAATATTCGGTGGTGGGCTTTTATAAAGCAAGGATGCCGGCTGATTGTCCACCAACAATTTGTTAACATGGACACTGAAGTTGTATCCCGTGCTAAAGCGTAGAAAAAAGGAGTGCAAATAGTCTGATTGAATCTTAAACACCATATGGAAGCAGTGATTCCGATATCTGCACATGAAGATCTTGAATATAGAATAGATGGAACTGGAAACTAGAAGAGCACCTGATCGGTAGCTTGTGGAAATTGATGTTCACTGTCACTACCGAGGAGGTAGTATGGATATTTTTTTAACCACTGCTAACAGAAGAGTGCGTGTGTCGAGTGGCTAGAAAGTGCTATGAAATATATGCGCGATCCTTGGCTCTATCCTGCTTGTGGGCTAGCAAAGCCCTATCATTCCGAGATCGGCAAACTGGCGCCGACATTTTCTGAGACGATAAAAGTACTTACTGGTACACGTCCTCATTTTGTATCAAATACACATTGAATCACCTCTACGATGGTTAATTAAGTCAAATGAATGGTGTATCCTTAAGGAACTGACCAACGTAGAACGCTTCATCATTTATCCTTTCACTGCTAATCGACTCTGTTTACTTCGCTGCAATATGATGCTCTCCAATTGTGAACCTCGGAGCTTCCATAAAAAAGGGATTAAGCCTACGGCTTTGGTCAATTCTTGAGAGATGCACCATGCATTCTAATCGTCAAGTTTCAAATGAATGCATATCTGGCCCAAACAATGATGTTGCTTAGCGATCCATCAAAGCATTGTTGCTATCCTTCCAGACAAGTCTGGGATCATTCTGTCGACCACTCAAGGTTGGAATGGATGGGAACCTTGGGGCAGGATAGAACGAGGGAGCACGTATACTTTACAGGGCGCCTTTAACCACTGCTCTATATATACCCTTGGAGATTTGTTATAATCAGTAAACCAATGGCTTCGTTACACGTGAAGCAAAACTTTCGCTAGTGTGGAAATTATAGTAAAACATCGCATTAGTTAGAGTTTCGACCACTTCATATGTTATAAATATAAGTTCGGTATGAATAATCAATGTAGCGGTTCATTGATAACCTTGCATGAGGTTGTTATAAATCCTCTTCGCGGCTGACCTTAAGTGTTATCGCCTTCCTCGCTGCTTCTATTATTCGAGTGTAAACAGCTGTTTTCTTACGATTTGGTTCATTAACAAATAAATTCTAGTCGTAATGTTTTTAAGTTAGATTCCACAGAAGAAGCCGTTCTGGAGTACTGTCATGGCTGATTTTCATGAATCTCATGACTGCACTGAACTGGTGCTTTGCTGGTGAAGTCCTTTTCCTGGTTTCCCTAACAAGCATTGCTGGTGAAGCTCAATCACCGAAGAAAGCTATCAAACCTTTGTGGTTTCTAAAGAAGTTTTCTGCTTTCTGAATAGTTGTTTCCAGAATGACTACAATTATTGGTATAACTTTACTTATGGACGGTCTTCCATTTAAAATTTAGGCGTCACGATGACGTAGTACATAATTCCAGTGAGGAAGCAAGGAGTTTGAGGTCTTGAATAGATAGTTATTTGGCAGCAATAATATTAACAACTAATTTAGCATAGAAATTTAGGACAGCGATGTGGAGAAGGCTTACCAAAAGCTTTACAATAAGTATGTCAAGGAGGACTCAGATGCGGAGAATGGAAACAAGAAGGAAGGCAACGGTAGGAACTAAAAGTGTTTTCTATTTGTTGTGAAAAAAAAAATTTAAATGACTGCCTTCCAATGTAGAGAAGCTGATATGGCTTCATTTTTGCTTACTTTTCTTTCTTTTCATTTGTTTCCTCTTCCTAACAAACCTCATAAGCGTTATGCTTCGATGGTCGTTGAATGACTTGGGAAGGACCAGAAACTTTCCGTGTCTCCCATTCGCATCCCTTTTTTCGGAATTGTACAGTCTTTCAACACATGGTATTAGAAGATAGTTCGAATCAAAGATAAAACGCCTAGTCAACATTCGTCTTTGTTGTTCCTCATGTGCCCAGCCCACTGACGATTTTTATTGAATCCCCACCTAGAGTACCGTGAAAAAGGTGGCGGGTGATGATACAAAAGAAGATTGAGATGGTTTCTTACTAATGCTACGCTGCACTTCTAGTTTGTCCAAGACGTTAACCTCATATCTGAGTAACTTTTTCTTAACTGTAATTGCTCAGTATAACGTACATGAATATATAGGAGTTACATAAAGAATAAGGATAAACAAGGAAGAACAAGAGTTTGCTGTATTATGGTACTCATGAGACATATTGTGGATGGAAATACAACAACAAGGATGTGAGATGTGAGCAAATCTCGGAACCTCGGGAAGGTTTAGGACTCGCGATTACTCTTACGTGGAGCTCTCGTCTAATCTACAGCACTAACCGAGAGCCTTGCTTCGCCTTTCCGTGGAATTTAACAAATTCAGAACACTCCATTATTCAAGAGGGAAAGAGTAGAGCAGTGTTAATGATGCGTTCATCACCAGCACGGCTTGACTTCCTCATCCCTCCAATGTTGGAAAATTGGTGCCAGCCTTTTCTGGAACAGGCTTACCAACTTAAAAAACGCGCCCGTGGACGCCCTAACACCGTTACTCCAGGACCTGAGAGGGAGATCTAGTAAACTAGTATTCAACGACGTTCACAAAGAAGACAACAAGTCGGCCACATTCCTCAAAGCGGGACCAACACGTGGAAAACTCGGTTTTCGAAACAAGACAGAATAAATGTGTTGTCTATAAAGAGGCAACGGTTTTTCTCTAACAACGAATTTTCCTCCAGGTTAACTGCAGCATTGCATGTGAGCCTTTCCTTCATGAGCCTTGTCTTTAATCAACAATACCAAGATGGACGCTGTTTCTACAATGCGCGCATCAAATGGACCTAGAGTCGCTCAGCTGTTTTCACTATTATACGCAAGCAACACGCTATATGATTTCCACGAGATGGTAATTCCCTTCCAAGATGCTTCATTGCGCGGTCACGGTGACATCTCTTAGGAGAGAGATTCTCGGGCTGAATTTAAAACCGTGCATATAACATTAGTATTTAATTAAAATATAGAAGGAAATTCCTATCTCACATCACTGAAATAGTTTCTAGTTTATACAAAGCAACAGCTAGTTTTTTTTAGAAGGTTAGAACACCAGCTTCAGCTGACTCCCATCTGTTGCAGGTAGCGGGCAAATATGTGGGAACCTGTGGTAGACTATTAATGCACACATCGATACACAAACACACACACACACACACACACAAACGCACACACACACACACACACACACATACATACACCACACACACACACACACACACACACACAAACACACACACACACACACACATACATACACATTAATCAGTAGCACAGCTCGATTTGCCACGCACATCATAGTCCATTGTTTTGTCACTCGCGTGTATCACATTATTCGAAAGTTGGCGGTTAGAGATGTGCGGTGGTTCCTCAGAACCGGTCATGTCTTCTTCTCTTCACCTTCCTGTTGGTCGTCGAGTGACTCGAGCGGGCGCTAGTAAATCTTCCATTTTTTCCTGTCGCGTGCATGAGTAGCCCAGTGGGTTCTGCTCGCTCAAGAGACTCGTCGAGCAACATATCTTTCTTCTAGGCTCTTTGTGAAAAACTCTGAGCATCGGATCGGTGGTCTTCCGGCAGTACCTTTTACATTTGAAGAAATCCACTCGCCTACGGGTCTTGTCCATCGGTTGTCGTTCATACGCATTACGTGCCCGGCTCTCCTTATCTTCGGCCTTTTGGCGTATAGAACGGCGTCTTTGATTTTTGATTGCTAACGTAGGCTGGAGCTTCAGATCTCTTCCTTCACTTCTGTGAAACGTGATACTCCTAGAATCGTCCCTTCGACTGCGCGTTCCATAACGCCGAGTGATCTTTCATTCTGCTTACTTAGCGACCATAACGCATAAGTTAAGGCAAGGAGAACCGTAGAGTCAAAAAAAATGGGCTTAGAGTCGGACGATCCTTGTTCTCTTCACTACGTTTCCGGTGCTCTTCAAAGCTCCCAAGCCGCTCTCTTCCTTCTCCTCGACTCTGAGCTAAATCGTTCATCATGTTGATTTTCCAACCTAGATAGACGTAACTGTTTCATTCAGAGATATTCATTCCTTTGAGCATGAAAGGAGCATACGTTACCAAAAAGTTCCCCATGAGCATCGTTTCCGTGAGATTTCGTCGAAGACCAATCTGTCCGCGGGCTTTATCAAAGTCGGTAAGCATTCCTTCCGCTTGACTAATGTTTGGTGTAATAAGGACGATGTTATCAGCAAAGCAAAGATGGCGTAACTGCCGACCATCGATTTTCACTCCCATGTTGTCCCATTCCAATGTTCGCATGACGTTCTGCAGGGTGGCAGTAAACAATTTCGGCGAGGTGGTATCGCCTTGCCTAACTCCTCTTTTGACGTCGACGTTAATATCGTTGTAGAATGGTGATACCTTGGTTGCGAAATTTTTTGTGCTACTCACGAAGAATCTTTATATACTGACACTAATTTACCGACCCCGGTGGAATGGAAAGCTTGGTGCGCCAGGGGCGCGGGAATCGATACCATGTGCATTGCAAGGCGCCTCCGATCAATGCGCCAAACCGCGCCAACAACTATAGAGCTTTGTATCACCTGTATCACCTGTAATCCCGTTGTTCATCGAGTGACTCGAGCGTGCCCCAGTAAATCTTCCATTTTTCCCTGTCGCGTGCAAGAGTAGCCCAGTGGGTTCTGCTCGCTCTAGGGACTCGCCGAGCATCATGTCTTTCTTTTAGGCTTTTCGTGGAGAACTCTGACCATCGGATCGGTGGTCATTCTCCAGTACGTTTGACAGCTCGAGGAATCCAGTCACTAACGGCTCTTGTCCATCGGTTGTCATTTATACGCATTACGTGTCCGGGCTACCTTATCTTCGACTGTTTGGCGTACAGAACGGCATCTTTGATTTTTGATCGTTGACGCAGATTGGATCTTCGGATCCCTTCCCTTACTTATGTGGAACGGGGTACTACTAGCATCGACCTTTCGACTGCGCGTTCGACAACGTTGAGTGACCTTTCATCCTGCCTACGCAGCGACCAAATTTCTGACGCATACGTTAAGGCAGGAAGTACGGTTGAGTCGAAAAGGTGGGCACAGAGTCGGGTGTTCTTTGTTTTCTTCAGTACATCTCCGATGCTCTTGAAAGCTCCCTGAGCCGCTCGTTTTCTTCTGATCAGCGCTGGAGCTAAGTCGTTCATCATATTGATTTCCAGACCTAGATAGACATAACTGGAACATTCGGAGATATTCGCTCCGTTGAGCGTGAATAGCGCATGTGGAACCAATCCGTTCTTCATGAACATCGTTTTCGTGAGATTTAGTCGAGACCAATCCACAGGTTTTATCAAAGTCGTCAAGCATAACTTCCGCTTGGCTAATTTTTTGATGTTCTAAGGACGATGGAGTAAAGCGAAGATGGTGTAACTGCAGGCCATTCACTCCTATATTATCCTATTTCAATGTTCTCATGACGTTCTGGAAGGTGGCGACAAATAATTAGGTGGTATCGCCTTGCCTAACTCCTCTTTTGACGTCGACGTTAATATCGTTGTAGAATGGTGATACCATGGTTGTGAAATTTTTTGTGCTGCTCACGAAGAATCTTTATATACTGAGTAAGCACGTCATGGCTATCTGGAGTTTCCATGGCTGCTTACATCTCAACTGAGTTAAAAGCCTTAAATCGATGAAAGCGAGACAGAGCGGTCTATTGTACTTTCGCGACACTTTAATTAGTACTTGTTCACATGGTTTTCATCCGCCGAGTGTTTTGTCAGTCCTATTGGCTGCCCTTCGTCAAGAGTTCTGCCAATTCTGTTTAGGTTCACTCACCTGAAAACATAAACGACATACAGTAAGCAGATTGGGCGATAATTACCGATATCGTGTAGGTCACCCTTCTTGAACAATAGAACGGTCTTGCTGGTCTACCACTGAATAGGGTCCCTGCATTCAGACAAGTAACGTTGAAGAGCCGAGCCAGTGTGTTTATGAGTACTAGCGGAAGGTTCTTTAGGTATTCAGATCATCCTGTACGGACTGGGTGTTGTTCGATTTTCCGTCTACGAAATAGCACGTGGATTTCGGAAGGGAGAACTGGGGGCACGAGTTATCCTGCCTCGTTTACTTGCTGTGAGTGCAGAAGGACATGAATATTGAAGAGATCCAAGTAGTAATCGTTAATGATTCTACTCATTGCATTTCTAGAAGTTCCATCTGGACGTCGGAGTGCGATCATCTGCGTTTAGTAATTGGCGAAGCTTCGGTGGACTTTGCGAATGCTTTTCCCACCCTCTGCAGCTTCGCCCATTACTGCTGCTCTTCTCTCTTTAAGATCTTCTTTTATCGCCTGTCTGCATTGTTTTGCAAGTTCGGACGTTAGTTCGCGGTTGCCCGCAGCTCGTGCGATTCAACACTGGCGTATCAGCTCGAGTGTTTCTGGCAACAGATGTCTCTTGGTGACTTTCGAAATTTGAGGTTTCACCACGCTAACGTGAAGATGTTGAATGAGCTGTTCCCAGCATCCGAGTAAAGAACTGGATAAATCTCAGTTCACGGTAGTTTTGGGATCTCGCTTATTGAATTCGGCGGCTTTTTCGCCATTCCCTGAGAAATAGTATCTTGAGCGAAAGAATCGATGTCTGGTCCCATGTAGAATTTTTGGGAGTCGATTAGTTAAAACCTTCGATTTACTATGATGTGGTCTATTTCGTTATGATGCTATTTTTTGAAAAACTCGTTCACCGTTCAGATCGTAGCTTCCAAAATTGAGAACTTCCAAGTCTTGGTCGTCATGATAAATTTACACAGCCGCTCACTCTGCTCATTTCAATGTAAACCGTGGTTCCCCATATGACGTTCTTCAGACGTTTTTCTTGGTCCAATCTAGCCTTAAAATCTTCAATGATGACCTTGAAGAATGTTTAGTCTTCTCTGTAGAACATCTTCAAGTCCATATAGAACGCTTCGACTTCTTCTTCGTCATAGTTTGATGTCGGCACGTAAACGACGAAGATTGTCAAAGCCGGAATTGATCCACGTCTTTTTAATCATAAACGTCCGATTCGGGTTGTAAGTTGTTCGAATGAACCGATGTTCATGGACAAACTCGTCTTGACGAGAACACCGACGCCGTCGACTCTACTGTCGCATATTAAAAGGAACAGTTCTCCGCTGTCATAGACGGCGGTAGCGTTGCCTTGTCTCGGCCAGGCCGATGACGTCCTACTTTATCCTTCTTGCTTGCATCATCAAGTCTTCTATCCAGGACTTGGATGCAAGTGTGCGTGCATTACAGGTACAAATCGTCGCCTTAGTCTTTCGAAATTTAGGAAGCCTAGAATGCCTCTGAGATTATAGCGGCCACTCCACATTCGTCCTCTCAAACGCTGCTTTATCGGAGGGCTCTTTCGAGGTTAGAAGGATAGGGTCCACCTGTTTTACTGTGCTCAGCGTTTGATGCCCACGTTTAGCTTGCTGAGCTCTGAACTTGGGGTCTGGGTGTACTCACGAGTTTGCCATTCTCTCCCCATGTAGAACTTATTTGTTGGAGGCGGCTCCTAACCGGCTACCATACAGTTCCATGTTACTTGATTGCAGGTTTTTGACCAATTTCACTCATAGAGTACACCCCGCATGAACGAGAACAAACCCCACGCACGCATGCATGAATGCGTCCTCGTAAATACAGAAGGTTTGTGCTAAATCGACGCAGCATAAACGGACTCCATTCCCTGGACCCACCTGCATCTCAGGGAACTAAGCGCTTTTGCCCAACACCTTTATTTAAACCATGCAATCACGCGTGCATCTCTGGAGGTTCGAAAAATAGATATTTTCTACTTTTTTCAGTGATAAAACGTCCATTTACTTCACAAAGCGAAGCCGAAGAGGGGGAGTGCTCTTCAGAAGATGACCCAGCGGAGACTAGGAGTGCATTCTCAGAAATTCTTGGCAAAGCTCGGAGACGGGTTGGTTGTTTCTATGGTGTTGAGCATAAAGGATTACAAAAGAGACTGTTTTTCGTGGAATAAATCGAAATGAAACAAACTTAACCAACTCTCAGCTTATGTTTTACAAAAATGTTGTCCGGATTATCATCATGTGTGAATTGATAGTTAAGGAGAAACGCATCCATCTATGCACTTTGTTCCACTGTATGGACACAGTGCGTTAGTTAAAGAAGCAGTGTTTTCATTATTTAGGCCGATCCATCATTAACTACCCCAGTAATAAACGACAATTCACCGGATGCGACTCCGAAGTGCTCACCGATGATGGCTCGCAAACGGGAACCTGAATCAATGGCCTTCTGTGGTCAACTCCCTTCAGGAAAAGGTGATATGCTTTAACACGTAGAGGACCACTTACACCGAAATTCGGTACTCCTCTTCGGTAGTTCATAGAGATTTTGCCACACTTTTTGTATTCTATCCATAGCTCCTCAAACATAGCTTTTATGTCAGTCGTGGCTCGTGGAAAGTTATTCTCTACATTTAATAGTTTACAAAAATCTTTTTTGGACGAGTTAATTTTCTGGAGAGAGACTCTTGCCTTTGAACAGACTATGCGTCAAAGAAAGTACGCCCATTAAAGGAGCTCCTAAGTGCTCTCCATTTCATCACTGAAATTCGACATTTAGAGGTTTCCACTCAAGTAAGGTAATAAGATCACCGAGGAGGCCTCTTCAGAATGTCTGATGCTCACAAAGTGCTCGTTACTTAGTGAGATTCAGCAGAATTTGTCCCTCGAAAGAATTGCCATTCATCTTCTTGTCTTACATTTATTTTACAACCCAACAATCTACATATACATGTAAGATCTCCGTAATTATATATGCATACATATATATCCTGCAAAAAACTCAACGATAAGAAGTAACTGCAATAATAATAATAATCACATTCTTAGCTCTTTTATTTACTGCCTTTTTTCTTCTTAATGGCAGGGAATGTTGTGAAATATAACTCGTATGAAGTGCTGAGATATTTGCAAAACTCCGGACCACAGGTGTATGCAGTGGGGAACGAACACGCGCTGTTGTCCTTACCGGGGAGCAGCGCACTTCACCACTACACCAAACAATAATAATAATAATAACAGTAAAATTTTTCACTTATCGCCTACAATCTTGATCGACAGAGGTCGTTCAGCGACTATTTATAACTATCCGTAAGCAATCACAATCTTCACTCACAACCTTCAGTCTTTATATAAAACCGACAATCTTCACAAAAAACTTGTAACTCTCGCATACAATAACATCAAATAGATGACTGTACAGGTCATTTGTGCCTTGTATGACGCCTATTGAAACATTGTGGACAATAATGTTTTTACAAGGAGGTGGATAGCACAGTGATAGTGATGTCTATCGTCACGTGTATGGTGCTAGTCCAATTCCGCTCCGTGCCAACCAAACCTCTCATCTCTCCGGGGTCAGAAAATTGGTGCCGAACTAGTATGGCCTGTCCTGTAGCCTGTAGCCTATAGTCCCGTTGATCCTCGAGTAACTTGAGCGGGCGCCAGTAAATCTTCCATTATTCCCTGTCGCGTGCAAGAGTAGCCCAGTGGGTTCTGCTCGCTCTAGGGACTCGTCGAGCATCATATCTTTCTTCAAGGCTCTTTGTGAAGAACTCTGACCATCGGGTCGGTGGTCTTCCTGCAGTACGTTAGACATCACGAGGAATCCAGTCACTAACGGCTCTTCTCCATCGGTTGTCATTCATGCACATTACGTATCCGGCCGACCTTACCTTCGACTGTTTGGCGTGCAGAACGGCATCTTTAATTTTTGATCGCTGACGCAGATCCGAGCTTCGGATCTCATTCCTTACTCGTGTGGAACGAGATGCTCCTAGCATCGTCCTTTCGAATGCGCGTCTGATAACGCAGAGTGACCTTTCATCCTGCTTACGTAGCAACCAGGTTTCTGACGCATACGTGAGGGCAGGAAATACCGTTGAGTCAAAAAGATGAGCACGGAGTCGGCCGTTCTTTGTCCTCTTCACTACATCCTCGATGCTCTTGAAAGCTCTCCAAGCCGCTCGTTTTCTTCCGCTCAGCGCTGGAGCTAAGTCGTTCATCATATTGATTTCCCGACCTAGATAGATACAACTGGAGCATTCGGAGATATTCGTTGCGTCGTGCGTGAATGGGGCATGCGAAACCAATCCGTTATTCATGAACATCGTGTTTGTGAGATCTAGTCGAAGACCAATCTTTGCACAGGCTTTATCAAAGTCGGCAAGTATAGGTTCTGCAAGGGTAATGTTTGGTGTAATAAGGACGATGTTATCAGCAAAGCGAAGATGATGTAACCGCCGACAATCGATTTGCACTCCCATATTGTCCCACTTCAATGTTCGCATGACGTTCTGGAGGGTGGCGTTAAGTAATTTTGGCAAGATGGTATCGCCTTGCCTAACTCCTCTTTTGACGTCAATGTTAATATCGTTGTAGAATGGTGATATCTTGGTTGTGAAATCTTTGTACAGTTCACGAAGAATCTTTATGTGCTGAATGGGAACTCCTTGACTATCAAGGGCTTCCGTGACTGCTTCTATCTCAGTTGAATCAAAGGCCTTCTATAAATCGATGAAAGTGAGACAGAGCGGTCTTCTGTACTCTCGCGACACTTCAATGAGCCTTGTTATCGTGTAGATGTGGTCCATCGTACTAAATCCGTTTCGAAGCCCTGCTTGCTTACATGGCTGTCCTTCCTCCAGTGTTCTGTTAATCCTGTTCAGAATGACTTGAGTGAAATGTTTGTAGACGAAAGACAGCGAGCAGATTGGGCGATAGTTGCTGATACCGTGCAGCTCACCCTTCTTGAACAATAACACGGTCTTCCTGATCTACTACTGAGTAGAGACCTTGCATTCAGACAGATAACGGGTGCGCTGTTGTCCTTATGGGGAGCAGCGCACTTCACCACCACACCATCCGGGTCCTTCGCTTTGCCTGTCTCTCAGCTAGTTCTATCGATCTTTTTGTCATCAGCGATCACCCGTCAACAGGATTGATCTGGGGAGCCCAAGTCGGCATTGAACCCAGTTAAGCTATGGCTGCAGTTGAAATCACAATGTTTAACGTTTTTTGTTTTCTGCCTTCTATAATTTTCATGGCAGGTTACTAAGCGAAATACAACCACAACGTTGCTGAGATATTTGCAAAACTCTGGACCGCAGGTGTCTATGGTGGGGAACGAACGCGCTATTGTCCTTTCCGGGGAGTAACGCGTTCACCACCACACCATGCGGGTCCTTTGTTTCGCACGTCTCTCAGCTATTTCTATCGATCTTTCTATTAACCCTTTTATTTACTGCCCTTTAGAACTAGCTGAGAGACAGGCAAAGCGAAGGACCCGGATGGTGTGGTAGTGAAGTGCGCTGCTCCCCGGTAAGGACAACAGCGCGTGTTCGTTCCCCACTGCATACACCTGCGGTCCGGAGTTTTACAAATATCTCAGCATTACATACGAGTTATATTTCGCAACATACCCTGCCATTAAAAACAAAAAGGCAGTAAATAAAAGGGTTAAGTTTAAAATGAAAATGTTTTTACAACTGTTGTATCCACTGCTAGCCTTCCGCGGTTGTACAATAGCGTATTTTCGTACTGCTCTCTAATGGTATAGTAACATCACACGTTGCACTTTTTCGAGCCCTTGGTGCCGCTTTCTTCAACGAAACGAAAGGTGACCGTGTCGAAGCACTCCCGCACATAATACTACGCAAGTAGACGTCCATCATGAAGTCGTCTAACGAGTTTTTCAGCACAGAATGATTATGCTTCCTGCGTGTTCTACCAGGCACCTTTCAGTGAGGTGTTATGACTGGCCGTCGCTATCGTAGGATTTTGTCTTTTACAAGGGATACCGAAACATTTGTAACGCAAATAGTTAATTCCTTTCATGCTCTGAGAGTTGGCAGATGAAATAAAATAAAATGTAGCGCACTGGAACAACGTTATATCTAGATGGACAAAACAAAGTCTCTATAATTTTACGATGTTGTCAACCAATAAGTTTCCCAGCTGTCGAAAATTCATTATCTGTTGTCGAAAAAACAGAACTGCCGTTTTTAAATCACAGACGAGTTCGTTTTTTTTTGTCGGGTTTTTTTTTGGCCTCAGCAAAATCAACGGTGCTTGTCAATGCGTTAATATAGCTCTATCCTTTGTCGCATAGAATCGTCTAAAAGGTTATTCTGTGCCTGTGTATAATATATTCCTAATAAATCGCTGTTGGATCAATTCTTTTCTTAGTATTTCTCCGTAGGTTCCATTTGTGCCTCTTCCAGACTTTTAGCGAGCTCTTTTCTCCGCCCCTTCCCCTTCCGAGTAATTGAAGAAAAACGTTGATTTCGATGTAACCAATTTTGAGAAATACTGTAGAACATACTGAGTTGAACAAAATTTATGTCCGCTTTATCCCATATTGGACAAAATCAGAGAGCTTACATTGGTTCTAATTTAGGTAACCAACAAATTCAGATGAATCTCTTAAACTAGTAACTAGAAGTTTGTACTTAATTTTACATACCTGTTTAGAAATCTCCCTAGACGATAACATTATGCATTTGCTGATTATTTTAAGCTACCGTATAGTATAAAAGACTTCGCATTTTAAAACAGGTGAAAATTATTGAAAACAACGTTAAAGATTAAAAGGCGGATGTTTCAGAAACAGACAAATCCGATGACAAAGGCGGAGTTGGAGAGACGCTAACGGACAGCAAGGCAGCTCCGGGCCAACTCCAGGAGCAGCACCCAAACTGTGAGTTCGGACAGGCCATGAACAACTTATCTAACCCACATGAGCGTCCAACGTCGTAGTTATGGACCCCTTTCGCTAGAAGGTGACAGTGAACTACACTTGGATTCTCCGCCAGTGTGTACTTGATTATTGGCAGAACAAGCCATATATTGCCACTTGGAATCTTGAAAAAAATTTTTTCGTAAATTTCGAAAGTACTATTAAAAAAGTTCTTGTTTCTTATGCTAGTGCAGTATTGAACTCATGTGAGTTAACACCAATCCCCTAAATTGCCTCCCTGTTCTACTCGCTGCTACAAAAAGACGGCGACCTGCCTACACTATTGCGAGAAATTGTAATTTTAAATATTAGCTGGAAGAATCTCGTTAGCTGGTAGTTATTATGGTATAAGAATTACTAAATTATGACCGAAAATCTGGCAGATGTCAGCCTAAAACTACTATGCGAGGCAAAGTGAAAATCATCAGTGACAATAGGAAAAGGGATAACTAGGCAACTGGCGGTTATCCGTATTATTTGATGACTCTTTTTTTTTACAGTTTTGCTGCCGACACCGACTGTTAAAGCGACGACATCGATGATAGATCAACTTCCTCAACGGGGCTCGTTGACAACAAACCTCTCGGAAGTCGTCGAACGGAAGAAATCGATAGCTGCTCCGAGAAACGGCGACGAGGTTGTGTCAGAAACTCCGTCGAGGAGTGTTAGCCCGAATATTGCCTCAGTTGCGGGTAACCAAAGTGGAGCTGGTATACACATTGTGTTGAATGAAGCATCTCCCACCGATTCAAATACTAATGCCACAAATTCGAATCTATCATCCAAAAACTCTCCCAAAAGAAGATCTAGTCCGAAGACAAATTTGCCTTCACCTACGAATAAGGTAAATCGTGCTGTAACAAACACTTGTGGAAATACAGAGAGTCCTCAGGTGTCGCCGTTGTCATGTACAACCAATCTTCCCACAGAAATCCCCACCAGCACGACAAAATATGTGGAGTCACCTGACTTCGCCAAATCAAATGATTACCATATTCACTCCAAAGAAAGATCATGGACAGAAGGTCCCGACATGAATTTGGACCAGAAAAATAGAAATTATAAGAATATTGATTCACCGGGATTAGTGAACTCGTCAACTGAGAAGCAACAGGAACTGAGCCAAACTTCGAACGAACTGTCTACAAACATTACAGTTCCTCTTGTTGTATTGGAAAAGGTTCGTTATTGTAGCCCACTTTTCTATGAAAAAGCAAATTAAGCCTATTTGCATATTAGACTATTTACAGCTTTCTTACAAAATATTCTTCAACTACCCATATTTACGAAAAAAACGTCTGCACCAGAGCACATTTTTCATTTAAATGACATTTGTTCACTGAGTTGAATAGCCTGCGCTCGTGCATTCTTAGGTCGTTACCAAACGCGGTGATGATTTCTGCTGTTGTTGTACTCTTAGTTAACATTTCGGCTTTTTTGGTGACGCCGATCTAAGGGTGAACCGCAAAATCTTGCCTCGTTTTTATTCTCTAATGACAACCGCTTTCGAAATACCAAACTATAACTTCAAAGTGAGGCGACCTGCCCAATGGTTTTTTTGCCCGCATTATTGTTCCCATTCCCTTGTGTCAACCACCTCTTATTCATGGTCGAATGACCCGATGCCTTAAACTCTCCGTTTTTGCTCGTCGATTACCAGAGTGCACCAGTAAGGCCTGTACACTCTTACCAGCAAGAGAACATATTTTTTCTTGTCAGATTTTTTTCTGAAATTTGCGACCATAAGATTGCTCGCTTTCCTCTTGTGCTTTTGACGTTTTATGAGACCCGATCGCTAGCGGTTCTTATCCATCTGTTTTCGTCTAAACGCAGCACGTGTCCAGTGCACCAGATCTTCAACACCTTGACGCACACTATTGCGTCTGATTATCCACACAAATCTGAATTTCGGATTTTTTCCCTCGCATGTGTAATAGAGGGTACTCTTAGCGTCGCCGTCTCCACAATATGTGAAGTAACGATAACTGGACTCACATCCAACTTGCGTTTCATCTATGCAACTGAAGCGTAGGCTTAGCTGCGAGAAACTTGATGTCGAAAGTTTGAGCACAGAGCCGTGTGCTGCACTCTTCAACACATTAACAAAGTTTTCGTAACTCTCGTTTTTTTCTTGTTCAGTCCTACAAAGGATAATGCGTTCGATGTTTCTCAATCCCTTAAGGATGCGCCATCTATTCGACTTCATTAAGCATCGCTAGAGATGATTGAATACGTATGTGGCCTATACAAAGACTCGCGGTGACCAACCGATGTACCAAGTCAATACTGTTATCCTCCCAGAAAAGTTTAGTGCTATTTTTTTGACCCTAGAGAGATGGAGGGCTTGGTGAACCCGAAACGCGGGATTGAACCAGTGTCACAATCCACTTCTAACTACTGCGTTGCACTCTCCCTGCGCTATCATATAGTTAAATCATTCAACGCGCTCATTTCTCGATCGGGATATGATTAGCCGATTCATTCAAAAATATTCGCTCCGTTGAGTGGGAATAGGAGGAGGCAGTAAAAACGAATGTCTCACCAACGTCATTTGTTCTTGAGACCTAACCCAACAGCATAGTCATTTCGCAAGCGATGAAAGCAACCAAATGGCAGATAACGTGTGAAGCGACCAGTAAGCGTAAAGATATGGACTGACTGCACATTCTTTAAATGTTCGGGTCTAAGTCTTATCCAATTTGATAATGTGAGCTTTTTTACCGACCCCGGTAGCCATCTGTCTTAGTGTTGTTATTATTAATAAGAAGAAGAATACATTTTATGGTTTTTTATATTTTGCTTCGTACCATCGTATACATCATGGCACCTCTGCTTTTTAACTTATCACCCGTAATTACTATTCAGGTGCCTCGAAGCGGATCTGTAAGCCCATCTTTGAGTGCACGAAAAGGAATAAAGGAGAGCACACCGTCACATCAGAGCGATCCGTACAAATCCGGTTAGTAGCATCCGGAATATTCATCTGACTATATCCATCGTCTTACCATTACTTTCTCGACGAAGCCATTCGTATCATTTTTCTGCTATTCAGTCCAAGCGAACACTGCGCTTGTCTTAGACCCGACAAGCGCGTTCTAGTTAAAAAACAGCGCGAGGCAGTAGCACCTCTACCATATGGCGCTCATATGGAAGCAGTTCGCTGTGCCCCAATCTCTAGCCTGCAGAAAAACGCGGGAAATCTCGATTTCTTATTTAAACAGCCAATATGAAACCTACCGTGCGTACTCGTGTAATGCTCTATTACTCTTCAGAAGTCAATATGTCCTCTCTTTTATCCTGTGCAATACTGTTGTAAACTGTCGCGTGTATAGAAGTGATTAGAGAAACTCTGCAATATATCCTCAGTCTTAAGTTCGATCCCATTTCTTGGGCCAAGTTTCCTATACTTCTGTGGCCGGCAAATTGGTTATCATACTTGTCTAGTAGAACAGGAACACAAACTTCACACACTCGTCGGTCAGAGCAATTCATCGCATAGCCCAGATATAAGCTTGATCACCTCTACGATGCTGAAGTGAGTTGAATTCATTGCGCATAATTCAGATATTAATCAACGCCTTACGATTTATTGCTTAGTCGCTTTAATATTGCTATTATTGTTACTATTGCTAGAAAGATAAAACGATAAAGCTCACATAGATGCACCGTGTTTCCGACTTCATGAAGCATTGTGGCGGTGATTTAATGTATATTTGGGATTTAGAATGAATTGCGAGAGCCTAACTATGTATGAATTGGTTTTTGTCCTCTCATAGAAGTCTGGTATCGGTTTCTCGACACAGATTTGATAATTCATCTAAGGGCAGGGATCGAACCAATGACAATATGTGCATCGCAGGTGACCTTTAACCACAGCTCTGCACGCGATCTCATTGTTACTGTTATTGCCATTATCATTATCACTATCAGTTTTTTATTCTTGTTTGTTTTTGTTATATCCTTTCATTGCTGCTATTGCTATTACCGCAATTTTAAAATGCAGAAATCCGTTAATTTTTCGAGTGTCGAAAGCGTCGCGATCCAACGCGAACGCTAGAGGACCTCAACGGGAAACTGCAGACGGAGGAGAAAAAAGAAGGGCAAAACGCAGCCACGAAACAGATGTTGGACTCTATCAAGAACCAAGAGAATGGCAACGGATCTAATGTACGTTTCACTTTCAATTTCACTCCCAAAAGGAATCCTCTCACCTAGGAGACCTCTCTGAGGTGAAATCTTGGCTCCAGCCGGTGTGTGGCGATTTGGGCAGTGCGTCTAAACCGCATCATAGCGAGCACACTTTTTGGAGACGTTTTGTTTCCACATAGCATGGTTGATTGCCTTGGGCACTTTTACCAACTGAAACTGCAACCGATGTAATCAATGTTCTAATAAGCATGCGGACTTCTCTTTATAACTTTGTTATGCTTGTGCTTTTCCACTGGGTTTTCCTTGAAGCTTTTCCATTTAGTTCTGCACAAGAGCAAATATACCAGCCGACTTTCTGCTTGTGAAACTGATTATTAGGAGGATTATAGATCCAAAAGCCCAAAACCCACCCACTTTGGGTGTGCTAAATTCGGAGATTTTTCCCATAAAATTGTCCTTCCAATCTAATCTAATGCTCTTCTGACAGCTTTTATCACAAACAAAGCATTTCGCTTAGGATTTCGGTTTTTCATGCAACAGAATTTACTTTTAAATTTTTTCTTCTATTAGATGACAAACAAGTCACTTCTTCCAACGGTGTTCGTGACCGAGCCATCAAAACCATCCACTCCTATGATTAAAACATCTGCTCAAGCAGTGGAAGAATCCACGGACGGCGACTGGACTGAAGCCGAAGACGAAGCTGACTGTGAGTCCAATGAAAGTCTGTCTGCTGAATTTATTCTAAAAATTAAGAGGTCCCGTAGACCTTCATGGTGGCTTACATTGCATAGGCCAGATTCTCTACAGTCTGGTGTGATCAACACTGAAGGATTTCGATGAAGGCAGCTGCCGCTATTGATTTAGAAAGCGAAAACCACTCCACTAATGATTTGCAGCCTTTGATCAAAATATTATGAAAGAGTTAGTATTTTGAAAACGTCGTGTGTTCTTAGATAAGATAATGACCCTTCTAAACCTTTTTCAAGGTATGTATTGTACCACACTAGCTATTGAAAAAGGAGATCGATTCGTGATTTTTTTGCCTACAGCCATTATTCTATCGTTAGAAGCAGTTGAAAGGCAACATTAAAAATGAGTATAGCCAATTTCAGACGAATCTGACTACGAGTACTCGGTTTCGCAGACGTTCAGTCTGAAAGGAGCGCTGCCGATCGGTGATTTTTGGAACCCGATTTCTCTTGTTCTGTTTCTCGAATTCGATTCAGCTCTAAATGAATCGCTAATCTTTCAGGCGACCTCTATCCTCTTTCTCGTTCGTCGTCACGTTGCTCTCCATTCATTTCCGACTACGACAGCGACGCCAGTATGCCGCTGTTCATGCTTCCTTCCAGGTACGCATGCAGTATGTTTATAACCTCAAATCTTTACAGAAAATGTAAGCGAATCATGTTTACCTACCAAACATTTAACTGCTTTGTTACTGTTCACTTAATCATTGGGCGTATATGTGGCTACCGGTATAATTATTTCATTAGGTGAGGTATATCACAAGTTTTCTTTCCTAGATGAGCGTTTCACCACTTGTCATAGCAAAATGGTGAGGAAATGTCCAAAAATCAATCACATAACCACACAAGCCCACGCACAAATGTATAAGTGAAAATATACTATATAGTTGAAAAATATTATGAGATGTGTTGTCATAGAGTTTCATAACCTTACAATCACGGGGTATCTTTCTCGTTGATCCGACTTTGGCACTTCTGCAAAAAATATTTCTGCATCGCAGGGAAGCTGAGTCACGAGGCCGAGTCGATCGCCTCTTTGCTTTTCCGGCACCTTCGTTTACTTGCTCGATTACTTACGACGGTCAGGAGAGTTGGGATGAAGAGAGCCTTCACTCGTGTGCGGAATACGACGAGGAGTATTATGGTATTGCTAAGTTCTTACTGTATAACTTTCTATTTTTCTGTAAACTTTCGTAGAGCAATAAACACTTCATGCTCGTGTTCAAGACGTATGAACTTTGTTCTTACCATACCCTTCCCTAGGAACCCAGTAGTTTCCAGGAAGACTTACTCGCTCAAGCCGTCCAGGATCATCCGCGCTCGGTGCATATCTTAGTCCAGCTGCCTTTTCATCTGATGAGGTTTCGGACCTTTTTCATTGCAAATTCTTTTTACAGCTTTTTACGTTTTTTCAACTTACATTTAGCATTCATTTTATGGATAGAAGATTCTAACCATGTTATTTATGGAATTTTCGTTCCTTTTACGGGCGAAACCCGGTACTGCTCCGGTGATTGTCAGTGCGAATGTAAGACCTCGGTCAACGTAATCGTCTAGAAGCCTATGTCCAACCACACTTAGAAAGAGGAACCAAAGCAATTAAATGTTGAGAGAATCCTGCCAGCTACCTCTTAGAGTATTCGGTTTTTCGCAGCAGAACAGCGGCAGGAGAGCGATCGATGATCACTCCTACCAAAACGCTAAGAGTAGGTACAGGTACAGATACATTTTGTCTGCATAGTGGAATTCCACAACAAACCCTCCACCTTCTCATTAAGAGGCGGTGTGCTCTTTTTTACTTAGTAAAGAATACGAAGAGGATATAAATTACCGCTTTTGGAGTGGTTTTCAAAATAATGATGCTGTCGGTGTTGTTTTCGTAGGTACAAGAAGATTTTCTCTGGATCAATCTCTTTGTGGTTTTGCATCGCACCATCCTATCGTTTTACACATCACCGTTTGCCATTCACTCTACATATTAGTTCGTTTGTTCTCGAACTTGTGCCTTCCAAAAAATTTGAATCATTTCGTCTTCCTCGTCTGCGAATTTTCAAGCTATGGTATTCATCGATTAAAAACGTTTGCCATCTTCCAACTTATATTACGTGTTTTTGGCGGTTTTAAATCCATCTAGATAAACAAATCCTTGTGGTTTCTCCTGCGGAGTAACTAGTAGCTGAGTAGTCCATGAAGAGTAAAACACGGTTGTTCCAATTGACTTGTGTTGTAAAAATTCAATGAGAAGAACCTGAATGTAGTCACGCACTACTACTTGCACACTTGGATACTTGGATAGCCTGTCTTCAATGGTTGTGCGGGCCACAGCGCAATTTCTATCTTTTCGGAGTTTTGCTGGTGTAGCCACTGTGGTTCCCTGGAGTCTCGAGGTCACCCAGGCCAAAGTCTGCCTCAGGTCATCACCACCATAGGACGTCGCTGCTCTTGTGGATCAGAGGGAGATTTGCCACCATGCGACTAGTTTGATACCAGGACGGTGATGGATCCTGGTATTGGTTTACTCTTAGCAGGCTTCCTAATGGAAACGCCGCACTCCTTCTCAGCTTGGAGACCCTGCCGGGAGCGAATCCCCTCGCTGTACATCGCAGCCCGACACCCACGAACACCTCCCAGCAACGATGAGGCGCTAAACCGTTGGGAGGCATGCATTGTTATAAATACGGCAATCAAAATGATTGAAATCGAAATGTTAATTCGTGGTTATTTAATTAGTACATAGTAAAAAAGATTCTAGATTTGCACTTGTTTTGTTTATTTTGAACTATACCGCCACCTTTCCCACCTTAAGGAAAAACAGGTCGAGCATATAGGGATAACAGAGAAGTGAATTAGCTACGAAGCATATAGATGGTCCAGTTTTGAACTGTGTGAATTCAACCACAACGTTGCTGAGATATTTGTAAAACTCTGGACCGCAGGTGTCTATGGTGGGGAACGAACGCGCTATTGTCCTTTCCGGGGAGTAACGCGTTCACCACCACACCATGCGGGTCCTTTGTTTCGCACGTCTCTCAGCTATTTCTATCGATCTTTTTGCCACAGCAATCACCCGTCAGCGGGGTTGATCTGGGGAGCGCAAATCGGCATAGAACCCAGTTAAGCTATGGCTGTAGTTGAAATCACAATGTTTAACGTTTTGTTTTCTGCCTTCTATAATTTTCATGGCAGGTTACTAAGCGA